AAGATTGGCGGGAAATGAGAAAAGTTTGGCTCTCTTTATTCTCTTACTGTTTATAATCACTCTCACTATCCCAGCATATCTGCTAGGTCTTACACCTGTCAACCACCGAAAAAAAAGTTTGGCTATGAACAGTATGTTCATTGCGAACATCTTTTTTTACTTTTTTTTATGACGTTCGAGAATTTTGACAAAAATGCATGCATAATGCAAGTTTGAGAATGCCGAAAATGCTTTTAAATGTAGTGCTTGAAAATTCCATGCACCATGTTCATTTTGTCAGTTACTTTGGAAATAAAATTAAATTAAAATTAACAACTCTGCGCATTAGATTTTCATCATGAATCGCATTTTAAGTCTTGAACTTCAGTTTTTTGCACACGTCATTCGGTATGACAGATTGTCTTTTGAGAAACCTTGGTACTAAGAATAAGGGCTCATGAATATCGAATGAAAAAGCCCACTATGTGGGTTAATGTCGGAGGTCTTAACTCGAGTTTTTCAGCTGTATTGCAAGCAATCAGCGACTATCCCCCACGCTACACAGTTGATAAACCCGTCATGTCACATATATTTCTGTTATGCCAGTGTAGTTTGTAACATATCCGCAAATCGATATGTCAGTACTCCGCCAACAGATGGTGCTCTTTACCACACATTGCACTTCACGCTTCTTGAACCAAGACGAGGCATCTCAACCATCATGTCTGAATAAACCAAACCGGATTCAAGTTCGAAATAGTTCTCCTCTGTCCATCCATTTATTCTCTAAATACGGTTCCGCACACTTTACATGTACATGGTGGCAGCAGCAGTAAAACGAAGTCAAGCGACAGTAAACTGGAAGTTGTTTGCCACATAGTTTTGTATAAAACCACTATAAATCATTGAAATGATCAGGAGAGTGAGCGGTCAACTCTCACCATGACGGAACCCGCCGAAAACCAGACAGTCATGAACACAAAACAGGACACAAAAGACTGGAAAAACAAGAGAGTCAGTGTACCCTACATTCACAGACATTGCCTCATTGCCCTGTGCATAGCCTAGGACAACAGTGGTGCGAAATAACAGAGAAAACTCATAGATTTGTGACCGCACACAACCGTGGAAATTTCTAGATATTTCAACGTTAACACATGGTCACTATTTTGTATATGGAAACGCGCACGGGAGGACCACGCGCTACGCCACATTGCATGAAACTAGTCTCCTACTTCAGCTGTTTTGTGAATTGACACAGCGCGTAAGTTGCAATCATCTGAGCCTGCACAAACAAATCAAGATGACTGAGTCCTACGTCCCACGCATGGACTGGTCTCATGCAGACCAAGCTAATGCCATTAAGCTGTTCAAGCAGCAGTGTGACATGTACTTCACCATCAAGAACATTAAGCCAGACCGCCAGGTGGACCACATACTGTTATTCATGGGCTCACAGGGTCTATGCATGTACAACTCGTTGGGACAGCCACAAGCTGAGGCAAAAGACCCAGCCAAGATTTGGGAGAAATTCCTGACCCAAATCAAGCCCAAACAAAACTTTGTGTGGCCAGGCTCTCACTACAAACACTTAACGCAGGAGTCGGAGAACATGACATCATCTCACAACTGAAGCTGCAGGTCTACAAATGCAACTTCAAAGACGATGATGAAATGAGAAGTCCCATCGTTGACCAACTTATTGCTGGCACACGATATCCAGAGATACAGAAGAAGCTGCTGGGCAAGCCAAAGACTTTGACCCTCGATAAAGCAATTGACCAAGGCCGCACACATGAAGCCGCTTTTATGCAAATGAAAGAACTGGCTCATGTACAGAACACAGACACCCTAGCTGTACATGAGTTGCGCAGTATGGAGCATCAAAAGTGGACAACCCCATTTTCTTTATTTTCTGCTAGTAGATTTTCGGGATTTTGGATTTTGCATAAAGCATTTTCAAAAACGCAATTTTCCGCTAGCAAAAATCTGGATTTTACTTTAACAAGTCACGTGGCACTTCAAAAGTGGACAACTAAAAAGTTCAAATTTCCACTAGCAAATTTTATTTGATGCTCCAAAAGAGGACAACCCCATTTTCTCATTTTCTGCCCGTAGATTTTCGTTTTTTTGAAGTTGCATGACCCCTTTTCATAAAACCAAGTTTTTTGCTTTGACGACGGCGGTCGATTGCTTGGGTGGTCCAAAAGTGGACAAGTTGAAAACTGAAACGACGGCAGTGCTCCCTATGCTCAGAATGGAATGGTCTTAGGAACATGGGCAGCCTACATTAATAGTAGCGGGTCAGGGGTCTGACGGATGGCGTCACAGTTCGGAAAAAAATGTTGATGTTTCCTATTGAGAAACTTGCAAATACGAAAGGGGCTGTCCAAAGCCTGATAGTCCTTTATGGTATACTGCAAACTTCCGACTTCCCAGCGCACCATGTAATTAGAATGACGGTGGCGGCTTGCTGTCAGGAATTTCCATTTTAATTAAATGAGCACATGGCAATATATGTGTCCCCTAAACCATACTAGCTGTAATAAACCACTGTATTGTATCTAAGTCCTGTAGTATAATTGAATTTGTTGTGGAACGAAAAAAGGTTGGAATTGAAAAAGTCATGTTAAGACAAGAAGCTGAGTGCTGTTTAATCAAAGTGAATCAAGAGTTTCAAAAAGAGGAAATAGAGTAAGTAAAAATGGTAAACATTAAAATGCAACTTGAACTTGCTGAATTAATTTTGACACCCCACAAATTCCAAAACATGTATTCAGCCAATAATTCCAATCATAAAAAGGATAGCCACAACAAAAATAAATCTTTCAGCTAGTGAACCAGTCGGTCACTGATAGGACATCAAAGATTTAATTTAATGTTTATCGTTCACATCTTTGTTCAAGTCATCAAATAAAAGTCGGCAGTTATAGTGGAGGCCTGGGTCATTACTATTAAGACAAATGATTCAAAGTGACAATGTGAAGAGATATTAATAAAATGAAAACACAAACTTGCAAGTGATGGCCCAGAGCAGTCATATTATGCATGTACTGCGAAATACATGGATGATGGACTGTATCTTAAGTAGGCCTGTGCCGGGTACCCGGGTACCCGCCCATCGATTTCAAAACCCGGTTCAATTTTTCCGGGCCGGGTACCCGTACAAAAGTAAATAAATTAGGAACAAA